GCAAATTTCGGTTTTTTCCTGGAAATTTTTAGACCATTTTTAATACACCATTTATTGAGGTTCTTATACGCTATATTTAATTTTTTGCACCCTTCTTCAATATATTGACATGGTGAATATATACAAATATCATCGGCAAATTGTAGTATAGAAATGGTCTCACATTTAATTTTACATTCCAGATCTGCTGTGTATATTAAGTATAGTACAGGGCTTAGTATACTTCCTTGTGGTAACCCAATATTGGTAGTTTTAGGGCCCAATATTTCATCATTTATATTTATTGAAACTGTTCTATCGGAATATAGTAATCTGATACGTGAGGTCAAAGCTTGAGAAATTCCCATTTTTTCCATTTTTTCATAGAGAATGTCTAATATTACATTATCATATGCTGATTCTATATCTACAAAAATTGCTGGAAGTGATTTGTTGTTAGTAAAAGCGATATTTATATCACTTACTAGGTTACCTATATTTTCAATGGTTGAACATCCTCTTCTGAAGCCAAACTGCAATTTAGGTAATTTTTTATTGGTTTCAAGCCAATGAACTAGTCTGACTTTGATCATTCTTTCTAAAGTTTTTAAGACACAAGAAGCTAGAGAAATTGCTCTATATGAATCTGGATCTTCCGCATCTCGATTTGGCTTTAGAATTGGAATTGCTGAATATTCCTTCCAGCTTGTTGGAAATTCTGCCCTATTCCATGTTGTATTTATTATTTTGCGAAAAATTTCTATACTTGATTCAGACAAACTAGCGAGCATTTTATAATAAATGTTATCCACTCCGGGCGCTGTATTATTGTTAGTTTTGAGGCTTTGTTTTATTTCCATACTTGAGAATTCCCTATCTATATCATCCGTGCTCAGTGAACTAATCGGCCGAATATTTGTTTCCACCCAACTTGGAGCAATTTTATTGAAGAACATTTCTACCCACTCCCCTACCTGGATCCTATTTTTTGGAGGATTAAATGTATTTTTTATTTTCTTTATATATTTCCATATATCTTTTATAGGTGTGTTTCTGTTAAGTTGTTTACAAAAATTTTGCCAAGAATCTTTTTTGCTTTGTAATATTATTTTTTTTGCGACTGCTACTGAATTTTTATATTTTAAATAGTTAGTTAAATTTGACTGCCTTTTGTAAAGCAAGAAAGCTTCTTGTTGACATTTAATGGCATTTGCACATCTCTGATTCCACCAAACTTTGCTAAATTCTGATTTGATCTCTGTTCTCTTCTGTGGGATTGCTAGTTTTGTAGCATGATTTAGTGACTCTATAAAATTTGTATAAGATCTTTCGTTATTACTTTCATCTAATTGTTCATATACTATCTGAGAGAAAAGGGACCAGTCAGCTTTATTTAAATTAACTTTATTTTTACACTTAAAGGATACTTGAGTAGTATTAAAATGTGTTTCAATTAGAACAGGAAAATGATTGGAAGTACCTAATGGTATAATATCAGTTTTCCAATCACAATTTAAAGTTATATCTCTAGAACATATTGTTATATCTACAGCAGATTTATTATTACTTCCAAATCTAGGTATTAATGTTTCGCTTCCTGTATTTAAATAATTTAAGTTACACTCCTCTATAGCACCGAGAAGTCTTGAACCCGATATATCTGAATAACTATTTCCCCATGCAGTATGATGACAATTGAAATCACCTCCTACCAAAAATGGCTTTTCTAGGCTATCAAAAAAAGAAACCCAATCTGTTTCACTAATGTTTAGTTTTGGTTTGGCGTATATAGAGTATAGATGGATTTTGATATTTTTATTTATTGACACTGATACCGACACACATTCCACGGACTTTATTGGAGTAAATTTTGGCTTAGGAAAAAGGTAAAGTATTTTCTTAATAAGATTGCAACTCCTCCATAACCGTCATTACGGTCGTGTCTAAATATATTAAAATTATTAATAAAAAAATGTGAAGATTCCTTTAACCAGGTTTCCGAAAGCAACACTACATTAATCTTATTATCGAAAATGTATTTTTCAAAGTGACCTTTATTACACAAAATTGATCTAGCATTCCATTGCAGTGTATTTAAGTTACTCATAGTCTGACAGAATTTGCGTTATACTGTCTTTTATATTTTCAATAAGTGTACTATTTTTAATTTCTACATTTGAAAAAGTTAAAACATCTTTGATAAGATTTAATATTGATTCGCAAGTTTTTATCTGTTTACTTAAAGTGCTACTACCATCACAACTATTATTATAATTTGGTATATTTTTAAATTTATTGAAAACAGGTTCTGTTAAAACTTTTGGATTTGAAATGATTTCTTTATGTTTTTCAAATGTTTCATCGATCTCTGGGGTTATAGCTAACCTCTTTCTTTTTAAAGTAACAGTATACCGGTTTGAATTTGTGTCAGTTTTTGCTACACTTGAAAAACTTCTTTCGTGCTTAGAAGAAGCCTCAGTGTATGATAAATTTTCATAAACCATAGTTTTTTTAATACTCTTTTGTCTACTAAATTCTGAACAATTTTTTTTATCAGTGGCGCAATGCTTTTCTTTACAATAAATGCATATTGGTTCATTTTTTTGGCAACTTTCTACTTTATGATCTTCTCCACAATTTTGACAGCGTTCTTTTGATCTACACTGTGTACTAATATGGCCGTATCTTAGACATTTAAGACACTGCATTACTCTTGGCACGTATTTTTCGACTTCATACACCATTTTTTCTATTACTACCCTAGTGGGTAAAAGTTGACCTCTAAATGTAACTATAATTGTAGTTGTTGGAACAATTTCATTTTTGTCATTTTTACGTGAAATTCTTTTTACGTGACTTACTTTAAAATTATATCCTAATTTCGGTTTAATAATTTCTTTTAATTCCGGTTCCGATAATTCTAAATCTATTTGCCTTATGACTCCCTTTACGTGAGTAAAAAACATTGGAATGTATGTATCGTATTGTTTATCCTTTAATGACTGTGCTGTTAATAATTTATTTGCGCTTGCATAAGAAGTTAATTCAACCTTTATTTTATTAGCTCCTATTACTGATATGTTAGCTATATCATGTTTAATTTCTGGTATCGCATTAATTATTAGTCTAGCCGTAGCTATTTTATGTAAATTACCTATTTTACCTGTTTTACTTTGAATATAAACAAAAAATGGCCCATTATCTTTTGGAGAATATTGATTTATTGTGTTAATGACCGTGTTTACGTTTAAATTTTTTTCGGAAACAATTTCAGAAACATTATCAGTACTTATCTGTGTAATAGGGTTGATATTTTGAAATCCTCTAAATTCCTCCACTGGAGAAGGTGGAAGATCCGGATGGGACACATCCATATCACCTTCCAACTCATCTTTTTCGGGGGGTTTTCTACCCCCGCTAGTAACACTCATGGTCTTTAAACCACTTAAACTTTACTTTTTTATTTTAAATCGATATGTGTAATTTTTATATGAATAAAACTAGTTTTTTATTTATAAGGTGATAACACCGATTTCGTTAATTAGATTTTAAGTATCGCACGTCTATTCGCTTTGACGAACCGAATCCAACTCGATTTCTTATTATGTTCTGAGCTCTATCGGCTGGAGATTTCCAAGTATAAAGTCGACGGGGGTGGAGTTGGAACCATGTGTTGGTAACTCTCATGTTTTCTTCTTGACAAAATTGTATAAGTCGGTCGCCCCTTTCGTTTCTTGTTCCAAGACCATAGGGTCCAACTACGTCTTCAAAGCTGCCCTTCCCTATTTTGGAATTAAAATCTCCCATAATTATGTTGACATCATGTTTCTTTGTCAATTTAAGTAGTTCTTTGATTTCACTATAAAAGTTTTCCACTACTTCATCTGATGCGTCTGTAGTTGGTGCATAAACCTGTATGATGTTGAGATTATTTGGCTTCGCTTCAAGTTTTACTAAGGCCGTGCGGTCGGAATATGGTACAAACTCTGTGACAGCTTTCACCAATCTTTTAGTTATCATAATCCCGACGCCTTTTCTATGATCGCGGTCATCATTGCCTGAGTAAAAGAATGTTCCGCTTTCTGTAGTGCATTTACCGGATCCAGGCCACCACGTTTCTGAGATCCCAAGGATTAGGTCCCATGGAATACACGCACCCAAGCTGCGTGTATTCCAGGTGCCTATCTTTAATGTCTTTCTTAAGTTTGCTCGTACGTTTGAAACATTCAAGACCGCTCCCCCCGGAGATCCGACTGGGGAACTATTTATACCTCCGGATAATTTTGAGTTGAGTGTATTCATGTGATTGTCTTGGGAAATATAATGAAGGTGGTATCCCGTTGCCTTCCTTCATGCCGCTTCAGGGCTTAGTTTTCAGCCGCCCACTATGGAACAGACGCCGTTTGCAACCGCCCATTCTGGGTACAGACGTTGCTATTTTCACCATATCTGGCTACCCTCACTTAGTTTAGCCTGCAGACCAATGCAGTTGCCCAAGGTGTGGCACGTGGAGCCATAAGTGAGAGTTGGGTGTCTTATGAGGACCAGTTATCAAGAACCATCTCCCGTCTATGACGCTCGATGTGGTCGTTCCGATAAAAAGTACTACCTCTATAACACAACCCTACACCCCTACACCCCGAGATTGTGTCTCACTCGTATTCAAACAATACAGTGTTATCTTTGTTCCACATACTGAATAACGTATATGGTAGTTGAAAACTTTCCATATCGGTATATCAATCCAAGAAGTATCTCCTTCCTTGGTATCTAATTTAGTTACACTAGCTAACACTTTTTTTAAATTATATTTGTTATGAAACTGGAACGCGTCGGTACAGTATACATACTTTAAAACTTAGTTCGTATAATACCAATAAACACATAATGGTTCTATTTTTTAGTGTGTAGTTCCAACATTTTTTCATATAGATTTATTTGCTATTGGTTCCATAACTTTCTTCATGTCTTTTTTATTGATAATTTTTGATATATAATATTAAATTTAATCTTTTTTTTAGAATTTCTGAGCCTCTTAATCATCTCTCAGATGCACAAAATAAATCAATAATGACATTAAACGAAGAAATAAAGTGGCTGCTTAGGGATGAAATATGTACGGCTCTGTTAGATAAAGAACCTGTTAAGAAAGATACTCTAGCCTATGTCATGAACCATGTAACGGAAGGAGTCAGTCGTGCGACTAAATCGTGTACTCAAGATTCCATTAAACTAAATTTTGTTTATCCGTCAACTCACAGTTATGAAAAGTTTGTCGAGGAGTTCGCAAATTTAAAACTTCCGTACAGTGGGTACAAGTTATGTAAAGAAGAGGATTTATACTACTTAGTTAAAGATCAAATTGATAGTAGCGATAGTAGTACTCACGTACAAAGCAGCGTAGAGTTGAGCACATATACTGGAAACAATTTAAGTGCGCAATCTAGTGGATTTCTCAATGGGGTACCTGAGCCAAACATAAATGAAGTGTTCATTACTTCCGAGGATGTGGCTAGTACTGATCAAAATTGCAAGGAGCACATTTCTCAACAGAGTGATGTTTCAAGCATTAATGATAGTGCTGCCGGAACCGATGGAGGTAAGTTATACTTACTATATCATCAAAACTTTTATTGTTAACTAAATTTATCGAATGTGGAATCTATTTCTTATCGACTTTTATGTTTTAAGCTACTGGGACTGATAAGGGTAAGTTTAAACTAGGAAACTTTTAAGAACCAGCTGGTACATGTAAAAGAAGGGATGTATTTCAGTATATTCCCTTAAATACGGCTTTAAAATGTTTCCTTAATTTCCATTTTTGTCACCCAACAAGATACAAATTCAATCTCGTCCAAGTCCTTAGATTTAGCTTACCCAGTTTGACGCATGCATACCGAAGGTAATCTTTAATTTTACTCAAAAAAATTATCATAGAGAAATCTTATCCTACTTGGATGATTAATAGATTTCTCTCTTCTAAGAGATATGGTACTCTTACAAGTGATTTATCCAGAAGTTACTGCACATAAGATTCCTTCGTCTCTGCCAACTTATCATTATGCATATTTGCTTTATTTCCCATCATTTACTGATAAGCTCACTAAATTGTTCAATAATATACTAGCTAAAATTGCTATTAAGAATGCTAAATTTGTCGTGAACTTATTTTCCAAGACTAAAACGCCTCTTTGTATACAACAGCAAATCAATATATAGATTTAGACAATAATAGGTTTTTCGAACAATCATTGTTTTGACGACGTTTCGGCAAGGTCACACTTGCCAATTTCTAGTCAGAGTAGTTCTGCTTCTTCCTGGCGTTCTAGGAGAATATCAGGAAGAAGCATTTGTGTTTTCTGGCCAGGGCCTGAACCTGAACCTGAATAAAAATGAAAACAATGTTTGTTAATCGAGACCTTTCTCTGGAGCTGAGGATAAGAACCTTAAGATGCTACGTGTTCTCGACTTTGTTGTATGGAATGGAAAGCTGGACACTAAAAGTGGATAATATAAAGAAGTTGGAATCATTTGAGATGTCGTGCTATAGAAGGATTTTGAAAATGGACCATGGACCCAACGAGTTACAAATGCAGAAGTATTAAGAAGGCTACAAAAGGATGGCGAGGTCATAAAGCACATCAAAACAAGAAAGCTGGAATATTTAGGCCAAATTACCAGAGGTGCGAAATATGAGATATTAAGGCTCATAACGCAAGGTAAAATCAAGGGTAAAAGATCCATAGGAAGACGAAGAATTTCCTGGCTAAGAAACCTAAGAGAGTGGTATAGTTGCAGCTCAGTAGATCTTTTCAGAGCAGGCGCCAATAAGGTACGAATAGCTGTGATGATAGCCAACCTCCGATAGGAGAAGGAACTACAAGAAGAAAAAGAAAAAATTTAAATTGATCACTTTTTTTTCACGTGTATTTAAGTTTGCTTGTTTTCTGCTTTCCCTAGATTTCATTCTTTTATCATCTTTCTCCTGCTTGCCTCCTTAGCAAATTTTAATTTCTTAAATTAATTTTTAAAGGTTATGAAGAAGATGTTAGCGAAGATTTTGAAGACTATGATTGGTTAATTACTTTGAATAATAAAAGAGCACATCTCCCCAATTTTTGGCTTGTAACAAAAGTTGTACAAGAAGAAGTCACCGTCTATTTTCATTGCAGGTAATTTGTTTTTACAGATACTGTAAGATATGTAAGTTATTCAAAAACAATTGAAATAATTGAATTGACCTGTTTTTGTGTTTTTTTCCAAACTCTTATCAGGAACAAAATTAAGAATCATTCGTTACTTTTATAATATATATACACTGTGTCCGTAAAGTATGGAACAAAATCTTGTTTAGCTAAACAGAGCATTTTAAGTAGTAATCCTGAAACACGTCTATTTTTGATTTTAATTTCGAGTAATGACGTCACCGTCATTTTTTTAAATGGAACACCTCGATTTTATCTCAATTTTCGGATTACTCTAGCTGAGCTGATTCCAAAAATGTATCACATGTTGATTCAAATTGATACAGGGTGGACAAAAATACAATAGTTTTGTGTGTATTCATAAAGTAAAGCCTTAGTTAAATTAACAATATTCTCAAAAATACTTATTGTCTAGCGAACAGAATATGATGACATACATGATTTTATAAATGTTCGAACTGCAGCCCTTGCTGTATTTGACAGTAATCCAAACGTTGTACAAATTCTTGTTGAACCTTGTTTATTGTGTCTTGAGAAATATTGTTTATGGTTGTCCGAATTCTCTGTTGTAATTCTTGAATATTTGCTGGTTTCGTTTGATATACAACATTCTTCAGATGGCCCCACATAATATAATCCAAAGGATTGAAATCTGGTGACCTCGCTGGCTATTCAATAGGTTCATGTCTACCAATCCACCTATCCGGAAAAATTTCATCTAGGTACCTTCTAACATCTACAGCATAATGTGGAGGTGCACCATCCTGTTGCAACCTTAAACTTTCATCAAAACCTTCAGGATTACGTCTGCTGTAAAGCAGACGTAATCCTACGTTAAGTGTAAAGCAAAGAATTGAAATACTTATGATGATTGGGTATTTAAACAGATCGCGAACTCAGATGGAAGTTTGCAATTTGTTTAATGATAAATATCCAGAAAGACCTATAACGCGTACAACAGTCAATAAGATTGAAAAGAAATTTCGAGAAATTGGTACGGTTGAATATATACGGAAATCAGGTCGTCCCTCTTCAAATGCTGCTACAGCATTAGATGTTTTACTTAGTTTTGAAGAAGATGCGCTGTGCGTAAAGTTAGTCGCGATATCGGTGTTAGCAAAACAACGGTACACAAACTATTAAAGCTTGAAAAATGGCATCCTTATAAAATCAAACTTGTGCAGGAATTAAACGAAGATGATCCCGATAAAGGAATGCAATTTTGCGAATTATGGATAACTGCCACCGATTCCCTCTCTTGGTACAAAACATTATTTTTTCTGATGAGGCCACTTTCACGTTAAATGGCGAAGTTAACCGTCAAAATTGTAGATACTGGGCAAAAAAACCCCTGGATGCGTGAGTATTATACACAATACTCGCAAAAGGTAAATGTATGGGCTGCAATTGTAAGAAATCGAATCATCGGACCCTACTCTATCGAAGGTAATTTAAACGGGGCAACGTACCTTGATTTTTAAGGGGGTATCTAGTACCTACTTTACGTAATTTGTTTCTCAGCAGACGTAAACCTGGAGGTTTTTATAAAAGTTTATGGCTGTAACAGGATGGTGCGCCTCCACATTATGCTGTAGATGTTACAAGGTACCTAGATGAAATTTTTCCGAACAGGTGGATTGGTAGACGTGGACCTATTGAATGGCCTGCGAGGTCACCAGATTTCAATCCTTTGGATTATTTTATGTGGGGCCATCTGAAGAATGTTGTGTATCAAACGAAACCAGCAAATATTCAAGAATTACAACAGAGAATTCGGACAGCAATAAACAATATTTCTTAAGACACAATAAACAAGGTTCAACAAGAATTTGTACAACGTTTGGGTTACTGTCAAATACAGCAAGAGCTGCAGTTCGAACATTTATAAAGTCATGTATTTCATCATATTCTGTCCTCTAGAAAATCAGTATTTTTGATAATATTGTTAATTTATCTAACGCGTTACTTTATGAACACAAAACTATTGTATTTTTGTCCACCCTGTACCAATTTGAATCATTATGTGATACATTTTTGGAATCAGCTCAGCTAGAGTAATCCGAAAATTGAGACAAAATGCGGATGTTCCATTAAAAAAATGACGGTGACTTCATTACTTGAAAGTAATTCACCCTATATATTAGAATATTATTTTAAAATACGGTAAACTAAAATCAAAAATCGACGTGTTTCAGGATTGTTTCTCGAAATGCTCTGTTTAGCTAAAAAAGAATTTGTTCCATACTTTACGGGCAGAGTATATATATATATATATATATATATATATATATATATATATATATATATATATATATATATATACATCCTACTATCATTTTGGCATCGATACATTATGCTTTTACCATCAATTTAGCATCGTCTTGCAAAGTAGCATCTGTATATCGACGCTACTTTACAAGACCTTAATAACTTTTTTCCTGTACTTGTTACAAGAATTTTAACCATCTCAATGATTAGAGATTTGATACCGTGTTGGTATTTTAAAATGTCCGCTTTCTCTTTTTATCCCTTACTGAGTTATATAAGTTTATTCCAGGAAATGTTTGAGTCTAAAATGATGGTACAGTGAAAATATTATATATATTTAGTTCAGGGTTTTACCGTTTACTCGCTGCCATTATATACATGAAAATGTATATCGCACTTTCATTATCAATCATTTTGGCATCAGAAATTTGGCATCGCTGTTGAATATAATATTACCCACAACGAAATGGTAAATTTAAGAATTTATATATATTTTTTTCATCCATAAATCATTCTAGCATCTTGTTTGATTAAAAATAACGGGTTATATATTGGGTATATATAACGGGGTATATATTGCATATTTTTGCTCCAATTGGTCCAGTCGTGATGTACAGCACCTCAAATGATAGGATTTAACCAATAAAATACAATAAGACAGAAAAGCAGCATGTCAAAAAGGCCTTAGTTATATACCTTCGTTTCTATAAGTCCAATCGTGACGTACAGTATCTCAAATGATAGGATTTAACCAATCGAAAACAATGAAATAGAAAAATCAAATACAGCAACATGTCAAAAGGGCCGTAGTCACGTATTTTTGATCCTATTAGTCCAATCGTGACGTATAGTACCTCTAATGATAAGATTTACCGTAAGGAATACAATGGGATAGAAAAATGAAATACAGCACAATGTCAAAAGGGCCTTAGTTGTGTATCTTCGGTTCTGTTAGTCCAATCATGACGTGCAGTACCTCAAATGAAAGGATTTAACAAATAAAATACAATGAGATACAATGAGGTAATGGAGTTGCATGTCAAAAGGGCCTTAGTTATGTACCTTTGGTCCTATTAGGCCAATAGTGACGTACGATATCTCAAATGATAGCACTTAACCAATCTTCTTCTTACGGTGCCTTATCCTTAAGGACGTTGGCCATTACATTTGCCCATTTAATCTTATTTGTAGCAGTTCTGAATAGTTCTATGGAGGTCATGTTCGTCCATTGCCGTAAGTTTTTAGAAAGAGTTGCAAGAGTTTTTTTGCAAGAGTTGCGAGAGTTTTTTTGCAAGAGTTGCGTCTTCTTCCTGGTCCTCTTTTGCTATTGACTTTGCCTTCGATTATAAGTTGGAGCAGTTCATACTTTTGACTTCTTATGATGTGACCAAAATATTGTGTTTTCCGTTCTTTTATTATAAGCATAAGCTCTCTTTCCTTATTCATTCTCCGCAAGACTTCCGCATTCGTCGTATGGCTCATGTAGGATATTCTGAGCATTTTACGGTAACACCAGAGTTCGAATGCTTGGATTCTTTTTTGTGTTGCTTCTGTCATTGTCCAGGCTTCAACACCATAGAGCAGGGTGGAGAAAACATAGCACTTAAGTATTCTAGTTCTCAATGAGATGCCCAGCTGGCGGATGATAGAACTTTTTGCATTTTGTAAAACATTGTACGTGCCTTTTTCAGGCGTATTCTTATCTCTAGTGAGTGGTCCCAAGTTTCATCAAGATTACTTCCAAGGTACGTTGTTCTTGTTACTCTATCCAGATCTGTTCCGTCGACATTGACCTTCACCCTTCTGTTTTGGTGCTTGCTGATGATCGTCGTTTTTGTCTTCTTTGTATTCAATTTCATTCCAAATTCTCTACAGGCTGTCATTACTCGGTCCATTAAGCGTTGCAGGGCTTCAGCATTATTTGCCAGTATGACAGTGTCATCAGCATATCGCAGGTTATTTATACATTGCCCGTTTATAATTATACCATCCGAGGTGCCTTCCAAAGCTTTCTGAAATATCTTCTCAGAGTAAACATTGAACAGCAAAGGTGATAGGACACATCCCTGTCTTACTCCCTTCTCGATATTGATTTTTCCAGATGTTTCGCTTGTTATTCTGATTTTAGCCTTTTGTTCTTGGTAAAGGTTTGAAATGATCCTTAAGTCTTTATCGTCGATATTACATGACCTTAAAATATCTATTAGTTTATAATGTTTCACCAGGTCAAACGCCTTCTGAAAGTATATAAAACACAAGTATACATCAGAATCGACATCTCTACATCTTTCAACTAGCACACGTATTGAAAAAAGTGCTTCTCTTGTTCCGTACCCATTCTTAAAACCAAACTGAGTTTGACCAGTGTGTTAGTCTAGTTTATTGTATACTCTATTGTGTATTACTCGTAGGAAAAGTTTCAATATATGATTCATCAGGCTAATAATCCTATGGTCTTCACATTTCTTGGCGTTTTTCTTCTTTGGTAGTGGTATAAACACCGATGTCAGCCAATCATTTGGTATTATGCCTGTTTCGTATATTTTGTTAAATATATCTTCCATTACTTCGATGTGTTCGTCTAGTAATATCTTTATTATTTCAATTGGGATATTATCTTCCCCAACAGCTTTTCCGTTCTTTATCTGATTTGCCGCTTTGATAATTTCTTGCTTTGTGATATAAGGTCCAGTCGATGC